ATTCCATATAAGTGCATACTTAGAGAGGAAGAAGTTTTCTCGAGTTTTGGATCTATACTTCTCAAGTTTGACCGTAGATACTTTATCGTGTACGTTATGTGTACAAGGGCCATGGATAAGGACTAAACTGCAGGAGGAATATGTGAGCTTGTGCAGGAGTTTAAAGTAAAGTATCAGATTGAACTTAAGCCTTCTTTTCCATAATAGATCGAGCCCGAGTTCAATACATCGGGTTGGATAGTCAATGGGTGAGCTATGATTTAGGACTTTACGAGTAAATTTCCTTTGTATTCCTTCAAGTTTCAACATATCAGACAGGCGTACGTTAGAAAATAAGAAAGAGCAGTATTCAGCAATAGGTCTTACGCATGTTTTATAGAGAATTGTTCTGGATTCTCTATGAAGGAAGTTACGAAAGATGAAATCAAGCATTCTTCTCATTCGGGAAACTTTATTGGAGATATGTTCGGAGAAGTTAAGGTTGTGCGAATAATGCACTCCAAGATCAGTTACGCATGTGAGTTTGGGCAATACACTCCTGTTGAGAATGAGATCTAATTTGGGAGCAGCGTCTCCGAAACACATCCAGCCACACTTCTCAGTATTAAGTTCAAGGTTCCATTGCTTACACCAGACATCTGCAGTATTGAGTTCGTGCTGGATTGTGTGCAACAAGTTTCCTAAGTCAGATTTGCTAGTTTGATAAATCACTAGAAGAGTGATGCCCCTGTAGTTTTCACACTTGCTGAGATCACCTTTCTTTGGTATTTTGATGAGGTATCCTTCTTTCCAATCTGATGGAACCTGATCCACATCCCAAATCTTCTTGAAGAGGATGTTAAATATTTTCTCAGTTGCTTCCACGTCTGCTTTCATTGCCTCTGCTGAACTGTTGTCTGGTCCTGCTGATTTGCCGCTCTTGATTTGTCTGATGGCCATACTGATCTCCTCAATCGTAGGTGCGCCAATATTAATTGGGAGGTCCGTGAATACTGCATCGATGTTGGGTGTGTTCAGTGGAGCTGGTCGATTCAATAGTTCCTTAAAGTGCTCTACCCACCTATTTCGCTGTTCTTCATTGTGGCTGATTACTTTGCCTTCCTTGCTTTTCACTGATCGTTCTGATTTACGATAGTTTCGGGCGAGCTTCTTTGTTGTTACGTACAATTGTCTCAAGTTTCCGTCTCTTGCAGCCTTTTCGGCCGTCATTGCTAGATCTTCCACATATTTTCGTTTGTCAGCTCTGATGCTCTTCTTCACTTCCCTGTTTGCTTCCGTGTATGCAGCTTGTGCCCTAACTTTCTCTGCTTATGTTCGACTGACGTTGATTACTGCCTTCTTGTTCCTTCTTTCTTCAATTTTTTCAACAGTAACAACAGACATGCAATCCTTGTGATGGTACTTCTTGTGACCCAGAACTTCGTGACATGTTGAAGTAATTGCCTCCCTAATCCCTTTCCAGTTGTTCTCCAATGTTGTGTCCTCTCCATTGAGTAGATCCTGAAAGGCCTGGAACCAATTGGTGAGGGCTATTTTGAATTCGTTGAATTTTACGGTATCTCGAAGAAAGGCCGTATTGAACTTCTGTGATGTTGTCTGCCCCATTGTCCAGTGCTTCTTTAGTTTCAGTTTCATTTTGGCGATCAGCAAGTGGTGGTCTGAAGCTATATCAGCTCCTCTCTTGGCTCTCACATCCTCCATGGTCCTTCTGAACTTTTCGTTGATACAGATATGGTCAATTCGGTTTTGAGTAGTGTAGTCCGGTGAAATCCATGTAGCTTTGTGTATGCGTTTGTGTGGGAATATTGTGCCACCGATGACCAGTTTGTTGAAGGCACATAGGTTTGCAAATCTCTCACCGCTTTCGTTCCTTTCTCCCAGTTCATGTCGTCCCATGATGTCTTCATATCCAGTGTTGTCCATTCCAACCTTGGCATTCAGGTCTCCCATAAGAGTCGTCAAATCCTTTAGTGAACGTTTCTCGACGATTGACTGCAGCCTTTCGTAGAATTGATCTTTAACGTTGTCAGTGTAGTCATTGGTAGGTGCATAACATTGGATGAAGTTCATTCTCATGTCCTCTTTCTTTGTTTTGAAGGATGCTTTAATGATCCTCGGTCCATGAGATTTCCATCCTATCAGTGCCTTTTGTGCATGTTTGGACAGCATCAGTGCAACTCCTTGTTTATCTGAAGCATTTTCCTCTTCATGACCAGAGTATAACAGCAGTTCCCCTGAAGCTAGTTTCAGTTGTCCTACTTGTGTCCAATGCGTTTCACTGATTCCAATCATATACAGTGCAGATCAATTTTCTACCCTAGCAGTTCACTTTGATTCCAGTAGGTGTAGGTCGAACGCGTTAACCCCCCAGTCCAATAAAAAAACACAACAATTCTAGGAGAAAGAGGTCTATTATTATGGTAAAATGGAAATACAAACAAATGCCTGACTTTTAATACACTTTCCAAGTCGAAAATTACCCTGATGGGTATCCAGTTCCAAAAGAATAAGCGATACTAGATCTAACCGCAACCGTATCAAATCCAAATATGGCTGTAGCCATATTAAATATCAAATTTAAACAACATATGTACAGTTCAGAAGCAAACATAAAAGCTCCAATATAAGTTTGTTATTTGAGAATAAATTATTATTATGATTATTATTATTATTATTATTATTATTATTATTATTATTATTATTAAGTACAAAATATAGAAATAATAACAATACACAATGGTAAAATCTCAAAATGGAATCAAATAGAGTACCAAAATGTCAACAGAAAGAGTCAGTCCTATCATAACACAAATATATGAACTTGGAGGGATTTTCCAAAAAACAAAACATTCAAAAACGTTTCTACAATACTGGCCTCACATGGATCAACATATCACAGCGGTGGTTGGAAAATGTATGCGGTGTCAGCAGGCGTCAAAAATGAATGTCAAAGTTCCGCCAGTTTCGTTGCCAAGTCGACTTAGCTAGCTCAATCAATGGAACTATGTATTTTGTTGTGGTCAACGCCTTCTCAAAATGACCAGAAATTAGCCCCCTAATGCCACCTACGATAACCAAGACAATTCAGTTCCTCACAGAAATTTTCCCTCGAAATGACACACCAGATGTAATCGTATCTGGCAATGGCTCTCAATTTACCTCTACCCGATTCGGGACTTTCTGTCAACGGCTAGCCACTAAACACTTACGCTCGCCACCACACCACCCGCAATTGAATGGGCAAGCGGAAAGTTTTGTGGATACGTTTAAAAGAGCATTGGTTAAGTCAAAAAGGGAGGGGACACCAGCCGATCCGTTATAAAATTTCATGTGAGTTTATCGAACAACACCAAATGAGTTGTTACCGGAGCAAACGTCCTCAGCAGAGATCCTGATAGGAAGAAGACTGAAAATGATCCACAGCCTGATGCATCCGACTAATGCACCAATATCAGTCGAGACAAGGCCGCAAAGACAATCCTCTTACGAAATAGAATTCCCTGTATGTGCCTGTGACTACAGAACAAACCTCGATCCTTGGGTAGAAGTACGAGTGGTGAGAAGATTTGGGCGGGTTATGTACGAAGTACAGGTGGGAGGCAAAGGGGGTCTCGCCATAGAAATCAGATGCATCCTGATGCATCCGACTAATGCACCAATATCAGTCGAGACAAGGCCGCAAAGACAATCCTCTTACGAAATAGAATGCCCTGTATGTGCCTGTGACTACAGAACAAACCTCGATCCTTGGGTAGAAGTACGAGTGGTGAGAAGATTTGGGCGGGTTATGTACGAAGTACAGGTGGGAGGCAAAGGGGGTCTCGCCATTGAAATCAGATACGCAAGCGGCTAGCCCCAGATCGCACGTCATCAGGAGCGAATTTTCCACTAGAGGTCCTGCTTGATACCTTCAACCTACCGTAAGCTCCATCACGAGGAGAAAGAAGTGTTTGGGACGTTTCACCTCCCAAAAACTAGCTTGATCAACTTCGGATCAGTTGATCTTCAGATCTCATGTCTCACCAGAAGAATCTTTGGCTCTTATTGATTACTGTGTCTTTTTAGTTTGCTATTTTGTGACTCTCACAAAGACGTCTCTATGGAGTATAAATAGGCGCGACTTGTGTGCTTGAATTCATCGTGTGCTGGCTGGGTGTCTGTAGAATACACTTCCTACGCTATATCTTGCCGATACCATTTGGACAATCGGATCACAGTAGCCCACCTGGAGGCTAGTTCATTGTTTTGTTGTGATTATCATACTAAGGTGAACCCGCAATAGTTTTAAGCATACTTAGAGACAAGTATAACACTATAAGTACAAGTTAAAAACCTTTCAACAGTCAAACTTCAATAGGTAATTCAAATCAAGTAATAACATACATATACATGGCAGAAGTAAACCAATACTCGCAAAATTAGGCATCAAAGATCAACTACCCAGGTTCGTGCACACTTCCCATTAACAGTCGCTGCAACTTGGAATGCTCTCCCAGCCGAGCTGATCACTGCCCCCTCACTGGACAGCTTTATGAAGAGACTTGGTACATACGGACTATCATCACCCTCGTGGACAAGCTGTGCCTGATGCACGTCTTGAGAAGTGCTAGTTGTTATCATTGACATATCCTTAGATCAATCAATTATTCTAGCTCGCCTACTATCTGTGTTTCCTCTCCCTTGCCTGCACTTCGGTCCTCTCTTACAATCTTCACTAACAAATAATAAACTAAATTATCTATATATTTCTTAGTTCTGAAGTCTTACTCCTATTAGTATTATAATTTTCTCCTTATTATTCTCCACATTGCAACTAACTGATCTCCGGTCTGGTAATGTGATAGCTGCTGATATCCAGAAACCCGACTTCCCTGAAACAAACTTTTTCATTCAAATCACGGCACATACAAACACAAACCAACTGCCCAGAATTAGGCAGTCGAGTGGCTAGACCTCCATCGATTGGACACTACCGAACACCTGGAATCGTGCCGAAAGAACAAAAATCGAGCGCGAAGGAATCAGTTGATTTATACTAGCTCATGAAAAAGATATTGGAATTTGGATGTAGTCTGCCCGCCTTTTGCAGTCTTATGCGTTACAATCACTAAAGTTTCGTAAGTTTAATACACGGATTGCTTCTTGCAAGTACAAGTTTGATCTGAATCTTAGCTAAGTTTCATTCTCAATTAAATTGTCATTAAAATTGGTAATGGTAGTAATATCAGCATTTGATTGCACTCCGTTCACGTGTACAGGAATTTTTCTTGGTGCAGATCATGGTTTACACCTCATGAATCGAAGGGTTCATTTGTGCATCAGTTTTGTCGTGCTCTTTTTAAAGGAGGTGTAAAAATTTTGGTTTCCAGTGCCTTAATTATTAGTCGCAAACCAGTTTTCGTATAACATCTTTCAATCCAATTTTTAGTTTTCCATTGCTTTCTTTGTTTCCATCGACTTATTAGGCTAAATGTGTCTAAAAGAACTCTATTTCGGAAAATCACGAATTTCTCAGATAAAAAGTAATCCATAATGTGGCAGTTGAAATACAAAAAATTGGACACAAAAAGTTGTGTTATTTTATAAGAAATATTACAAGTGTATATATTTAGAAATGTAACGTGTATTATTAGTGTTTGGTTTTGTAATGTATAGTTGCATTATGTGTATGTCGTTGAGAAACAAACGCGAATGATTATGCCCTACGATAGTAATCAAAATAGATATTTAACTGTTTAGGCGTATTCGTGTAAAAAGTCTTAACATTGACCAAAAACAATCGAAAATGCACATACTTAAACGCGGTGAGATGGTCAAACAAATGGATAATAAATAGTTCTTTAATTACTGTTAGTGTTTGCAATATAATTAGGCTGAACAATTTTTACTTTTCTCTACTTTTTTTATTAATCCGTGAGAGAAACATAAAATTTGAGTCCGTTTACTCTTCTGCTGAAATGGTATAGTTGTTTCTTGATTTACTACATTTCTTTAGATTTCATGTGGCACACAGTCCAGTCTTCTTGGCTAATGTTGACATCTTTGAATTCATCATCACGCTTATTTTTCTCTACTTAAATTTATTTCACTGGATTATACTTAAATAATATCTTCGAATCTTAATTTTCTCCATTATGGCAAATACTTCTACCATTTCTAGCAGTATAAAATTTGGTCTGATTATTGCGTCTCTGTGCTAATGTGGTATAGAAACCTGAACTTATGTACGTATGTAAGATCTACGTTGTAATTGACTGACTGACAGTGATATAATCTCATTTTAAATCTTCTCTTTATATGAATTATTTTACCAGCAGATTTTCGAGACTCTCAAATAAGTTACCGCAATCTATTTTTGAAATAAAATCACTCCCATCCTTTATTCTCTTCAGAAGATGACTTAAATGTGTTTACAGGTGAGCTATGTATCCCATTCCACTAGTGAGAGTATAGGAACTTTAAATATTTATTCGTTCTATTACCAAGTCTACTAGTTAACCTACTGAGTTACGGATACTTTACACTAACATTATTCCTCTTATATTTGACTGTTTTAAATATTAAAAACATACTTTAATCATGGTAGACTTGATTGATCAACCTGACTGACCGATTGTTGTCATAATTCCCCTTGTAGTTCTATATTCTCTGTTTCGTTTTATTGTCTCTAGTTGTAGATGATTTTAACCAGTGAGTAATGACACTAAAAATGATAGTTAATCCATACAACGACAGTTTGTCCAACTACAAAGAATTAATACTTCTTGACTGACACCTAACACTACAGTAATATATGTGAAAAATATATTGCCTAAATACTTTTCGAACTAGAGCACTTTACACAATGTAACATGACATATCTTTCCTGTCTGTATCAAGTTGACTATGCCTTTAAATCGGCATGAATACTTTAATTATTATTTTCAGAATATATTATATAATTATCATTTGTCGGTGAGCTCCGAAATATCCTTTAGGAAAGTTTGTAGAGACCCAAAAAAACGTCAGAAAATATTTCGTCCAATCGACATTGAATACAAAAGCTTCTTAGAAACATTTGATAAAAATAGGAATCTAACTGCTACAATATTGAGTATGCTTCTTGTACCTTCCTCCCAGAAGCACAAAGTCACATAAGTAACACTAGATATAGCTTGTTTCAACCTTGAGTGACATTGATAAAAAACATTCTTTTATAGTAAACAGTTGAATCTCCAGTGTAATAAATACAATTCATTATATGATTATTAATATATTTCCTAATTTAATAAATTTTTCAAGATGTCCTCAGAAGATTGTGAACATGAATTGCTTGCATTAGAATCAATTTATGAAGATAAATATCAATTAGTACAATCTACACCTAAACGTAAAATAAAAGTCTCTTTAAATGGTCAATCCGATGATTCACTATCAGTGAAAGTACGATGTCAACTTCTATTTGAACTACCAAGCAAATATCCTAATAAAGCACCAAAATATCAAATAATTAAACCGGAAAATTTATCCGATAATGATATTTCTGATATCAATATAATAATCAATGAAGTCATAGAACGTTCATTAGGATTTATTATGTTATTTGATATATTAACAGAAGTTCAACAGAAATTAGATAATATTTGTTCGAAAATTTTTATTCGTCAATTAAATGAAGCTAAACAAAAACAAAAAGCACTTCAACAAGAAGAAGAAGCTAAATTTCAAGGTGAAAAAGTCACAGTAGAATCGTTCTTAGAATGGAATACAAAATTTCTTGCAGAAATGAGATCTATAAAAGAGAAATTGATGATGATAACTGAAGATCAAAATACCACTGTGAAACGATTAACTGGACGTGAATTATTCTTAAAAGATAATCATTATGACGATTCGGATTTAACATTCTTAGAGACAAATGGTGGTGAAGTTGTTGAGATTGATGAACATTTATTTGTTGACATGGTTGATCTAGATTTGGATGACGATGATGTTAATGATGAAGATGACGATCAGAATAATCAAGTGGCAGTTCTATCAGGAACAGTTTAAACACACCATGTCACCTACTTTGTACTAAAATTGATTTCAAAAGTATTATTATTGCTTTGAATATAATGATTGTCTTTCTTCTTTGATGTGTAAATACGATTCCAATTCTGTTGGAATTAGTCTGACTTATGATTTGGTGGTTATAAATCGTTGAGATAACTCGCTAAACTTTAGCTGTGTGTTCTACAGCCTAAGACATCAACTATATACAACTTGGAAACCAAAAACGCTAGTCCTATTTTGACGCTAATAATTTTTTTGATAACAGAAGTCTGCTGTATAAATGTGTGCTACTGAGGAGGGATTCATTTATACAAGTCTGTTCGGATCATAAGCACCTATATCACTGATTTACAGCACAGTAGTTTCAAATGTAATACTGATAGTAGTACATGGGTTCAAAACTAACTGGTTCGGCGGGAGTAGCTATGACTCTCTTAAGGTAGCCAAATGCCTCGTTGAGCAATATTTGGAGCCTATGAGGGGGTTGTGGTGGCGGCTACCTCTTCGTGGTCCCGCTAGGCAACGTAGCGGTGGATACATCGCTGCGGCCAAAGCCGTTCCGATCGCTTAGGATACCGTGCTTAGCATGGTCCGGATAAATGGCACGCTCATGGTCTCAAGGCTGTGGATGCGTTTGACCAGTCTGGGGGATTAAGACTGAACGTCTCTAGGTCGGAATCCCGTCCCTAAGCGTAGGTAAATTCTCGAAAGGGATGTAGTAGGATGATCGAGGGCGGCCCTGGACGCTATGTTTGGGGAAGCAGCCGCAGACATCCTGGACTACTGACGCCGACCCTATGTGGTTGTCCCTTACGCTCTGCACCCGACGTAGTGTGTGAACTGGCGTCGAGGCCCCTTAAACAAGGGTCTCCAGTTGGGTTCCGGTTTTTCCAGTGCTGAAAGGGTACTGGGCGCCAATGATGTCTGCCCACTTCTGTGGGATGAGCCCTGCTTGGCTGAGCGCTTGCGTTTGGTCGAGTCCATGACATCTTCCTCATGGAAAGGTGTACGTTCTGGCTGACCTTGTGGGACAAACTCGATCTTCAGCTTCATGCGAGGTTTTGAGGGCTCCGATCGATTGTATCAACGCAAGGCAGTTGGAGGCCAGACGGTTGGAATGGCTGCTGGTTAGTGAACTGCCTGGGTGGCTCGGTAACTTGCTACGGGGTGCCAGGTCTAGCTGGGTAAGCTCGCCTTGCCGATTGGGGATTGTGGGCTGTGGTTTGGTTGGTGGGATTTCTTGATTCATAAGTGCCCGTGCATGGGTTACTGCTCGTGTGTGTACTTTTTGGATGTCCAACTTGTCTGCAGTTCAATCTAGACAACATGTATGTTCCCGCAAGTGGCAGGGGTCAATACTGTTGGCAACAGTGAGAATCCTTGCGCTGCATATCAGCGCAGAGATGTGCAACAGGCCTGTTGGTTGACCATGGTTAGTTTCAAATCTAATACTGATAGTATTACATGGGTTCAAAACTAACTGGTTCACATAAGTGTTTGGAAAATATTTCTACAATATTAATGATTTCTGAGTGTTAGCAAGACATAGATAGGATTAAAGCATGATTGCGTTAGCTGCACGCTGATTGGTTAAGTCTCGTCCAATCAGCGCCAGTCGATACTTGGAGAATACTCTAGAAGCGTCTCATCTAAAAATTATGGAAATACTAGCGATGTTCCTATTTCGCCTCCGCTTCGGCTTCTTACTTCTACTCAACCTTGCTATTTGGAATATAATCTCTTCCCTGTTTGTTAGTGGGACATAGATGGAATTAAAGCATGACTACGTTGCTGCGAGCTGATTGACTAATTTCCTATCCAGTCAGCGCCTGACCGATTCTTGGAGAACAGGGTAGGAAATTATCGTGCTGTTAGCTGCACGCTGATTGGCTAAATCTAGTCCAGTCGATCACGTGAATTACTATCCAGAGGCTTCTCATGTAAGTACTGTAAAGAAACTAACGTTGTATCTATTTTGCTTTCAGCTTCTTATTTCCATTTAACCTTGCTATTTGGAATATAATCTTTTCCTGGTTTTTTGATTCTTTGGAACTTATCCAGTGTGTTGTGGTCAGAGAATACTCAGCAATAGGAATTAGCTGGGAACCACTCAAGCAAGCGCTACAACACTGATCAACCGTGTTCTGATTTGGGGACTTTTTGAATAGATTGCTGTCCAAGAATACTAAGCATTAGGAATAGGTGGGTTGTAATAAGAGAGAATTATAACACTGGGTGTCTATTTCTAAGCACTTTCGAAGGTCTGTCAGCTAGTATAAATCTGTGCTGAAGGGTAAATGACATCGTAAATTATGCTGTATGCGCTCACAACCTACTCCCACTCTCGTAGAGACTTAGTTCATGTAATGATGCATTGAGCTTAATCTTTCTTGGTCACCCCCAGGTATATTCGACTTTTATTGCAAGTTGAATTTGCTTGTGGAATTACATCGTTTTCAAGACTGAAAAATATCAGAAAACAGTATGTTCCTACGCTTATTTACTTAAAATTATGACATCAGTGTTGTGCATTTACAAACTGAACATACTTTTATGATATGACTTTTTATGGTGCTGTTTAAAGTAAAATAATAGTCAAGGAAAGACCTAGGTTGTGCATGGATAATCAGTCAGTCAGAGATCGTAGTTTCATGTGGATATTTTAAAATTAAATTATAATCGGTTTCTTATGGTGTACGAGTTCTGTATCTTGCTTTTAATTTCAAAAGATTCTACTTAGAATGTAGTTATGAACCTATACTGTGAATAAAAACGCTCCAGCCATGCGAACACTAATACCATATGACGTCATATACGCCAAACTATATAAGTGATTGTTAGGATAGTCATCTAATATCCTAAAAGAATTATTTGTAAGTCCAGTTCTATTGGTCATCCTACTTATCAATATCACATACATCGAATGTTGTTTCTTAATGGTCGTCCTGACTATCAAGATCATCAACTTCAATGTTGTTTCCTATTCAATCTAACGGTATAAATACGCATTATCTGTGACGTTTTGTGACCCGTATCCCGATTCTCTTCTGTACTCGGACCTCATACTTTCTGCATGGTTGTAGAATACATGTTTTACTTCATATCAAGTCTTCTTCTTTTAACTCAATGGGGTTTTGGGACACTCGGATTAGAGTAGCATGTCGTGTCGCCGGATCCTCACTCTTGTTTTCCGACTAAGGTAAACTCGTAATAATTCAAGCATATCAAATGACGTGTATACGTGTGCATGCGTAACAATGATAATAACAACCATCTGTCACCAATGAAAACACACACAAACACACCTTTATCAATATCAAACATGTTTACTTTTTTATTTTGTGTCTTTTGATATATTTAGGAATTTTATGTTTTCGTTTCTCAGCTTGTTCTTGTTTGATTGCTTTTTTTCTATTTCTACGACTTTCTGGTGATTCATCTCGAGGTCGTGCAGCATTTTTAGCTTTAATTACATTTTTGTTAATAGACTCAGAAGAAAATGACTCTGAAATAATTGAAACTTTGTCTGGTATTGATTCATTGTCTGATTGTTGACAATCATTGTTTTCGTCTATCGTTGAAGGTTGTTGTGTTAAAGCACCTGTTAAATCTGGTTTCAATCCAGTTATAGCTGTATAATAAATATCGGAGTGTGATAATTGTCCACGTTGTAATTTAAGAAAATCTCTTATAAATGGATAAGATACTGATAAATTTCGTGGAATATGTACATAACGAAAAGCTTCATCTTCTTTTTCCATAGTTTCATTTAAACCACGTATTGAAGCTTCTCGAAGTAATGACATCAGACATTGTTTAGATACAGCTTCATCGGGTGCAGGCAATGATGGATTCACCACCCATTCGAATAGTTCACGTAATGTTAAAGTTGAAACACCTTGTTTACGAAAAAATGTATTGATATTATGACAATCAGTTCTTAAATATTCAAGAGCTTGAGGTGATTCATGTTCTACAGCCTATATAAAAAGTAAGTTAAAAATTTTATTAGTGAAAAACAATGTATGAAAGATATTAAATCACTTGTACGCTAAAATATTTCTACTGAAGGTAGAAAAAAAATCTAGAACAGTGGAACTTAAGTAGCATAAATTGAGCTCAATTGTATGTATATACGATAGATTGGTTCGTTATCTTAAATTGAATTTTACATATAAATCTCCCGTTATGAAAATCCAATCGGTTTGATTGTTCAAGCTGAGATGCCCATTTTCTCCATTTTTGTTTAACAACTTCGTCATCAACGTGCTTTTAGATAAAAAAAATTTTTGTATGTCCTTACAGAAGTTGAAATTTTACCAGGAGATTGGTTTGTTGATTTAGAATATGCCGATGACATATTCCTATTTGATGAAGACGCTGACGAATTGCAGCGTATCCTGACTACTCTAAGCAACAATCTAAGCATGTTCAGGATCTGACTCTCCCCGTCGAAATGCAAAAGGTTGCTTCAACATTGGCTTCCATCGGCACCTGAACTAGTGATACAGAGTGAAGTAGATTGCTTCATGTATTTCGGGTGTCTCACCAGTGCTGATAGCCTGGTGACTGATGAAATCTCGGCACGGATACAGAAGGCTCGGTTAGCTTTTGCCAACATTCGTCAATTATGGTGCCGGAGAGATATCCGTCTACTAACCAAAGCACGAGTGTACTGAGCAGCATTTCGCTCTATCCTACTTTATGGCAGTGAAACATGACCACTAACAGTTGAAGATATTCGTAAATTACTAGTATTAGGTCATAGGCGTCTCCAAAATATTGCACCCTTATCCTGGAACAATCGAGAAAGTAAAGCTGTTGTTAAGAAACGAGTCCTAGTTGGCAGATCAAGAGATGAAGTATTGAAAATTAATCAGTTGAGGTGGTTGGGACATGTGCTGCAAATGCCCGACCACCGACTGCCCCTACGACCGATGTTTTGCGGTGTAGGAGTATGTTTGAAGAAAGTTATGGGCGGCCACACTAAAACATGGTAGAAATTTATGAAAGCACTAACAAGTGGACTGAGCCTGGTTGGGGCCCGCGAGAAGAAAGTCACCGACGGTTAGAGACGAATGACATGGCTCAAAATCTCTTCCAATGGCACAAGTGCATCCAGTCTTTGTGTGCTCTCAAATTCTAACCTTCTGAATTCCTCATCATCTCTTTCTAAAGTTATCTCACTGAACTATACTTCTTGAATAATATCTTCGATTCATAATATTCTCCATTACCGCTAATTCTTCTACTATCTCCACTACTATGGGATTTGAGCTGACAGTTGGGTCTCTGTGCTAATGCGGTATGGCAACCTGAACTGATGTACGTACGAACGCATTTCTACATTGTAACTAACTGACTGACTAGCAATAATGCTCTGATATTCAAAATAATTTTCAGAATACTATATAGTTTTAAACATTATAGAATTTAGCACCAGTTTTGTAGTAAATACTCACCTGCGATACATCAATCATCCACACTTTGCCGTCAAGATAAAGCAAGTTATACTCGCTTAGGTCGGCATGGACTAAGCGGCACTTTTGAAACAACGTCCGGATGTCATGGATAACTTGGAAGTATAAAGTGGACCAATCCGGGGAGTTTTCGCAATCGCTTTCTTGAAGACATACATCTTTCAATTTAGGAGCGGGAATACCATCCTTGCCAACAAACGTCATTAAAAGGACAACGCCTTTCAAACGCAGAGGTTTGGGAGCATTTATCAAGCCAGACTGGTTTATTCGGAGTAAATTACGATATTCCTTTTCACTCCATTTACATACAAGCTTCCAAGATGTTGACTTTGAGTAACCATGACGCATTCTAAAATCACCCTTCACATATTTATCGCGAGATTTAAATGGCATTATTGATGTCATATAAACTTTAATGGCCAAGTCCACATCCTCTTTATTCTTTACATGATATATATTAGCTTCTTTTCCTGCAAGGAATAGTCATCAAACGCTTGAAGATGAGATGAACGTGAAAAACTCAAGCAGTACGTAGCTAACAACAGGTTTTTTTTTAGTTAGTTACAACGTAGAACTTCGTGCATACACACATCAGTTCAAGTTGTCATACCACATTAACACAGGTCGAATTGTCACTTCAAATGCCATAGTAGTAGAGGTAGTCGAAACAAGAGAGGTAATGAAGAAGATTAGGTTTCCGAGATATAAGTCGAGGAGTATAATCCTGTGAAACAGATTTAAACAGAGTCAAAACAGTTGTGAGGAACTCAGAAGATAAGATTATGAGAGAAGACTAAGTCAGTTAGTCAGTCAGTTACAACTTAGAACGTCGTATGTACGTATATAAGTTCAGGTTGACTTATCACATCACAGACGCAAGGGAAAAAACTGCTGTCACATCCTTCAGCAGTCGGCAGTACGACTTTGCCCTGAGACCTTGGGTAGCTACGTTTAGTCTCATCGTTCTCCAACCGACCTGCCTGGCATGGTAGAACCTTCAGGAACATATGTTCCAGTCAATATAGTTCGGTTAGGTCATCACGATAGGCAAGCCCGACCACCACGTCAAGGTAGCAGGTACGGTCGGGCTTTTTTGGCCATAAATTAGGACGGAGCGAACTGCTGCGCATTAGACTTGTTCTGTGGTTAGCAAGTAGACACCTAACCTACGCCATAAGTGACGCATTTCGGTAAAGCCAATCGAGATTTTGCCATTCACCTTTTCAATGAACAAAAGAAAATGTGTGAAACTATTACTGATTCGCATATAAAATTATATTCACAATTTTGAACTACATTTAGCCTGTAAATGCTTCAGTCGTAAGTCAAATAAAATGCAAAAATAAAGACGTAGCCTCTCTGTTTTCTATCAAGCCTTTTATCCCAACGGTATGGCAAAATACTGCAGTTTTCTCAGTTGCACATCAATGAAATGTTTAAGTCCAATCATAAGTACGTACGAAAATGATGACATTTACTAAAGGATAGACTCATCAGAACCGAAAGATTTCATAAAGTTGAACGAACAAATAAGGTAACAATTATCAGTTGCGTAATGTAAACAGACTAATACCTTGTGAGTTAGCTTGACAGAAGTTGAGGAACCATGGATTACAAATTGAGCATTGCAAGCCTAAATCTTGAACGACGCTTCATACGTTCCTCTTTTGACGGCCTTATCCTTTATATTATATTATACTATATATATATATATATATATATATATATATATATATATATATATATATATATATATATATATATATATAATTATACGTCCATGTTCCTAGAAACTATTGCATTGTTTGTCACGACAATGTCATTTTCAAAAACAAGTCTCTGTTTGAAACGCCACTCTTATTTTATTTTATTAACACTGCTATAGGTGAAATAAACAGTATCAGTTCAACGATCTAACATTATAGGTCAATTAACCTAATTATCAAGTATTTCGCCTAAAATCCCCTGTCCGTTACCTAGAAACAGGGAGATTCGATAAACTAATGTAATCTCTTTCTTACTGTAACACATAAAATGGAGCTATATTACAGATAACACTCACACCATCGTAATACTATTCATTCACAGTATTTGCACATCACATAATGTGGATAGAAGCTTCCTAAACCGACCTAAGTAACCGATAGGTATCAGGTAACACGCGCGTAGATATGTTTGAAGCAAAAATAAAAAGGGATCCCAGGAACATACCTGTACTGATACACCCATTGACTTCACTAAATATTTCCTGATTCATCATTTTAAACAGTATTGAACACGATCTTCTGTCAAGGGCGTGATCAGTTGTTGCCCTGTCACTTTTATCTTTCAACTGCCTCTCGTTTTTCATTGAAAAGTCGACTTTGTTTTGAAATTTTTGCATATATAACTTGGTTGCATTGTTATTTTCATTGTCACTTTCTGATAGATCTAAATTATCATATGCTTCTTCCAAAGAAGACCATAAACTCATATTTCTTGCAGAAATACCCAAAGCCATGGGCTGTAACGCACAGTCCAAAACTGTGTATCGTTCAATCTTCAACTTGGGATGGTTTGGCGTGCCTAATACGTTGTATGTCATAGTCAGATCACCTCTGATCCTCCTGTAACTCAGTGGGAATAATCCCAAGTGCTTGAGTCTATCTTCTTAAGATTGATTTTTCAACTCTATCACCCATTTATTTGGTTGCTCATCTCTGCACTCGATCCAAGAGATTTGTGTCTCTTTTAAGCAGATGGGGTGCGATGACGTGAGCCTCCAAGTGTGGGCGCGCGTATATCTCAAATAGTGTTAAGAATAATTGTGGGATGATAGCACCAAGTGAAGAGTCGCATTTGCCTTGGTTGCATTTCCTATGTAATTCGGGCTCGTGTAGAAGCTTCCTGAGGTTATTATCGCGCTCTGAAGAGACATTAGAGAGAGAACTTTCATTTAGAGTGTAAATCGTTTGCGTCATGTGGGGCTTCGTTTGGCAGGGTTTCAAACCATTTTTCACTGACGATCCTTCACAATAAATGTAAGGTCCTTTTGAAGCTCAGTCGAATCCTCTTCGCCTCTAATGGACCCCCAGATCTATGCATCACCTGCGTAGATCAATGCCGGTGAGCTAACTGAGACTAATAGGTCGTTAATAAATATCAGGAAGAGAACTGGGCCTAAGATGGTCCCCTGTGAAACGCCCGAAGTTGATATTCGCCAGCTCGTGTGTACTCTATTTAAATTGGTTCGAAACTTTCTATTCTCAAGGGAGTTTCTGAGCCAAGATACTAGCGTGTCAGTGAAGCCCCTTGCCGTAACCTTTTAGGGGTACTGTGTCGAAGGCTTCTACAAAGTCGAGAAATATTACGTGTACCGGTATTTTACGGTCTAAACAGGATGTCCAAATGTCCCATGCAATGAGAAGATTAGATGCACATGACCTGCCTTTCCGAAACCCGTGTTGAGCTTCATGGAGTATTTTATTTTTATCCATGTACTCCCTTTTTTGTTCGTCCACCAGCCCTTCCATTTACTTTGATATTACTGGTAGTTATGCGACTGTTCTGTAACAGTCTGGGTCACCTCTTCCTCCTACATTGAAGATTGGAGAGAGAGTAGCTTGTTTCCATTCAGCTGGGAATTGATGTGACTCCAGTGAATGCCTGAACAGGTCTCATATCGGTGAACAGAGGACTTCTGCACATTGTTTCAAGATTACGGGGCGAATTTTGTCACAACCTGGTGACTTACCTGGGCGTAAGGAGTGATACGGACATTCCCTAAGCCGTCGGCTGGCACTGGGTTTGCGTAGTACTCTGAACATGTGGATGCTTGATTCAACTTATCGGTAAAGTTGAAGATCCAAGCTATTTCTAGGTTGGTGATGTCTTGCCCGTTCGGTCCTTTTAGAGAACACAACCAATGATTCGTAGGTTTTCTTTTAAACATGAACCTAAACAGATGTTCAGGGTTCGTCTGTATTTTGACAGCTAGCTTCATCTGGAAGTGGCTGCTATCACTTCGAACTTTGGTACTGCATCTGTTTCTCAATGCCAAGTAATAAATACGATCAGAATCCTGCAAGGAGACCTTCTACTTGTGCCAGGCTCTCTTCGTCTGTAGCAAGCGTTCAGTGCCGCGCCTAACCCAAGTTCTTCTATTCCCGAGTGTGTGGTGTGAGTGAGGTACACTGGATGATATCTCTCATCGTTCGCCAGTGATCATCTACTGTCAGCCTTCACCACTCCCGTGGCCATGGGGCATGTAGCATGACATCTCGCATACGCGTATAATTTGCTACAGTGTAGCAAAGACAGGGCTCGTTTTCGTCCTGTATGTGTTTCGTTTGTGACCACGTGAAACAAGACTGTTCCACGGTCACTACTTCCTACTGGTGTATGGACTTGAACATCCTCAACTAGGAGCTAAGCATCTGTTTGCAATTAATCCAGGTTTGAGGACTTTCCTTCCTTAGTCCATCTGGTGGCACTGCATACGTGCTCAGTGAGCCCAGAGTTTCTAATGGCTGTACCAAGTCGTCTTTGGAACCAACCAGTAGGAGTTGTAGATGGGGTATTGAAATCTCCAGCTTATAGTATTTGATCACACCCCAGGAGTGGCAGTTGCAGTATTACCTCAGTCAGTTTGTTTTTCTGGATCTTAGTACCCGAGGGAGGTCGGTAAATCCCTCAATCAAGTATTCCGTGCGGTTTGCATGGAAACAACACCAACATGATTCTGTGGCCTCAGTTATTTGGTGCCGTATAGCCGTTCGGCTTTTAAGTGGCTGTTTATAGATATGGCCACTCCGCCTCCTGTTCGGTGTACTCCATCACCTCGGAAGAGTATCATGCCTGGCAAGCTCACTTCGTCGTTTGCAATGTCAGGGGATAGCCATGTTTCAGTTAGGATTATGATCTTTAGATCCATCTGAGAGCATATAGTCCTGAATTCTAACAGCTTACCCCTTAGTCCTCTTACCTTGCTACAGAGGCACTTGGTGGTTTGTCTCAGCACCTGGTGCACTTCTGCAAAAACAGACATTGTCGGATTTTCAGACAAACTTGAGAGATGGGCACAACACCTGAGGGATCAGTCCAACTGGCCTCAAGCCACCATTCGGTTACCCACGATCTCCAGTCACCCTAAATGGCAAATCAATTTAAGTCCTCCCAAACTACGTGAAGTTGACAAAGTTATAGGCAATCTAAAAGGATGTAGAGCAGCAGGTTCTGATATGCTTACTCCTGAGATGTTTAAGGATGGTGGTCGAGTTTTAACAATTAGACTGACCGAGATCTTAGGTAGAATCCGGAAACTGGACGTAATTCCACCCGACTGGTCTCAATCAGTGATTGTATGCATTTATAAGAAAGGAAAAAAGTCCTCTTGTGACAATCACAGGGGAATAAGTCTAACTAATATAGTTTCTAAATTGTTAGACTCCTTACTAGTGCTCGTGAAGAGCAGAATCGAGAAAACCAGGCTGATTTCAGAGCTGTACGTGGCTGTATAGATTACATCTTCACACTCAGACAGGTCCTGAAACACAGGCATACATTTAGGCGTCCTACAATAACTATCTTCCTGGACATAAAAGTGGAATTCGACTCAGAGGATCGTGAGGTTCTGCGGCAGTGTCTGTCACTGAAAGGTGTGTTCTATGTGTTCTATCAAATTCTAAGCTTTTGCATTCCTCATAATCTGTACCTTTCTCCTTCTAAATTTATCTTACTGAATTATACTTCTCGAATCAAATATTACTGTTAATACTTCTATTATTGCTATCACTCTTGGATTTGGAGTGACAGTTGGGTCTCTGTGCTGATATGGTATGGCAAACTGGACTGATGTACTTACGTACGAAGTTCTGCGTTATATCTGTCTGTCTCTCTGTCCTCTGAGTTGTATAATTAATAATCTTCATATCAATTAACCATGTCTTTTAATGTACAAATTATGTGTCCGACCAGTTCTGGAATACTGTACGCTTATTCCTATTGGTGTTCGTATAAAGAATGAATGAATTCTAGAACCCAGCAACCGACTGCATCAACAAGCGATATTTTGTGGTGTAGGAGTAGGTTGGAAGAAAACTAGGATCGGCCAAACCGAAACATGGCACAAATCAATGAAGTTACGGACAAGTGGACTGACTCATGTTGGTAGATGTAGACAACCTGGTTGGGGTTTGCGAGACGATAGTAATTGATGGTCACAGACCTTGAGCGACATAGCTCAAAATCATCTACAATGGCTCAGGCACACCCAATAATTTGTTGGGTAGCCCCGAAATATCCTAAGAAAAGTTTGTAGAGGCCAGAAAACGTCAGGAAATGTTTCGTTCAGTCAGTACTAAATAAAGGCTTCTCAGAAACATTTGAAAAAAGGAGAATCATTTGCCACCATTCTGATTGGATACCTAACTGCTACTATATTCAGTATGGTTCTCGTATCTCCCAGAAGCACACTATAAATACCTTCATTTTTCTACACATAAACTAACCTTGGAGTAAAGTGCTCATCTCGTAATTCATACATTTTCCCCTGTGTTCAAGTTACATTGACTATTAAGTTTGGAGTTATTGGAAGTGAATAGGAATCAGGTCTTGCGTTTATTTATTGAATAATAATGTAACTTTGGGTCGCTAGCAGATTTTGATGTACTCAGCAATCATATTTCTGATAGTTGAGTTTTTTTAATATTAATAAGAACACTACTATTATTAATCCCGTAAGTTTTATCTCTCCGTGTTTTTGTCTTGGCTTAACATACTTCACTGACTCATATGTTGGGCTATGTGGGAATCATAGAGAAAAAGTCAATTTTCAGTGATAAGGACAGTAGGTTAGTTGAAATGTGTTAATTTTCTAAGTAAACCTCTCCGAAAATTCACTTTTTACTTGAAAGTCTTCGAAATGTGACTCATATTACCCTCGTCCACTTCCATATGTATCTTTAGGTAGTGCATCCAGAGGACTGAAAATCACTAGTTGAGAAGAAGGAAACGTCGGCAAACTGAGTTTTAACCCGGATTATAATTCCTGAAATTTTGTGACTGGACCCAAAGATTATGTGGGTGCAGGGTCTAAGAATTTTAATACAAGATCGACGGGTTTCACTGATCAGGGAAAGAGATTCATGCATTTCAAATGCTGATTTTTGAGGTGTCTAGAAAGTCCTATCATCACCGATTTCATTGTTTTGGCACAACCGATGTAGATTATAAATTTTTATATTCATTGTGATTACAAGATTTACGCTTTATGTATAGAGTGTGTATCATTCTCCAGAAAAGAACGACATTCTATCACAACACTATGATCTTTCCTGGCATTCAATTTATACTAACGAGTTTATCTACTCATAAAGTTAATGAGTAGTATAACTCAATTCCAACAAAATGTATTTTAAACGAAGCAAAATGTACTTAAATAGTGGTGTATTAGAATTTCTAGGTACAATATAGCATATGCATCAGTTTGATTCCAGCCAGAAAATTCACATCGTGTTCTGT